TGTATGTATGTATGTATGTATGTATGTATGTATGTATGTATGTATGTATGTATGTATGTTCTTTTTTTCCTAAAGTTGTTGGCTTGCTGCTCTTTGGCGGTGTCCTCCTATGGCCTAGGGCCTCATTTGCAGCCGCTCAGAAGAAGTCGACGGTGACATCTTGTTCGAGTCCTTCTTCTTCTCCATCTTCCTCTGTCGTCGGGAAGGTGGTGGTGCCTTGTGCTCGTGCGGCCTGTGGTGCTGAGACCGTGCCACGGTCTTTGTGGTGTGTCAGATGCCGTGAACCGGAGTTTTTTGGGTGCCGGTGGTGACATGTGTTCACCCGCTGTTGACTCTCGCGGAGGTGTGGTTGGTACAGCCTGGCTGCCGGCTGCTGAGGCGGCCTGACTGCTCTGAGCTTGGGTGCCAAAAAGCTGGAGCAGTGTGGGTGATCTCTGTGTGTTGCCTTGGCATTCTTTTGTGAGTGCCTTGGTCAGGATCAGGCGTTCTTCTGCATCCAAATGGCTTTGGGTGCCACAATTCACACATCTGATGCCTTTGCCTTTCTGCCATAGTGCATGAGTGGTATGCCCTCCATGTGGCCTGCCATAGTGTTCATCAATGCAGCGGCTGCGGAGGAAAGCTTGGAAGCTCTCTTCATTGGTTCTTTTGTGGATTGACAGGCTGCACTTAGTGCATTTGAGATAACCTGTCGTCTCCTGAAAGGTGTGTTCATCAGCCGCCTGTGGGTGTTGCTGTTGCACTTCCATCAGTTGCTTGATGGTGCTGGCTCTAGTGATCTTTTGGCCAACTGGCTTGTTGGGTCGGAGGTCGGGTTCTGGTGCCTCATGTGCCAGAAGCTCACAGTCCTGCTGCAGGTGACGTTCGAGGACCTCAACCGTGAGTCCCTGGTGCACGCGGGTGTGGCAAGTGTGGCACTGGTAGCCGCTCCTATGAGGTTCCCACTGATGTTTGTTGGGCTGCCATGGGAGCTTGCATTGGTTGATGAGCCTTTTCTTGTACTGCTTGGTGTTATGCCCTGCTCGGCGGACTGGCTTCTCATGGATGTAGTGTTGTGGATCTTTGTAGATCTTCTCCAGTCTTGCGGCAGCTTGTTTGTAGATCCGCAGGTGATCTTGATCCAGAGTCTTCTGCCAGTCTTCGGCCTGTTGATCGTGGAGGCCCTTTCGTAGGCTGCCAGGGCAGCATCCCTTTGGCGTCTCCTCAAGTGCGGTTCACTTCCTGGTGCATCTGGGGTCCGCTGGTTCTTGTTTTTTTTCACACCTCGCACGGTCAGGCAGCGCACGCGCAGCGCAGCAGGAATTCGATTTCCCTTCCGCCAGTTCCCTTCCTCAAGTTCCCTTGCCCGAACTCCTCGTCCAGTTCCCTGTCTGCCCCCACTTCCCTTCGGCCAGCTCCACCTCCTGCAGTTCCCTTCGCCGCCTTCGTCCAGTTCCCTGCCTACTACCCACCACCCGCTACCCCCATCTCCGTCAACAGCCTCCAGCTCCCTGCCTCCAGTTCCTTCTCCAGATCCCGGCCTGCAGTTCCCTTCCTCCAGTTCCCTGCCTCCAGTTCCCTTCCTCCAGCTCCCTGCCTTCCAGTTCCCTTCCTCCAGCTCTCTTCCTCCAGTTCCCTGCCTCCAGTCCCCTTCCTCCAGCTCCCTTCCTCCAGTTCCTGCCTCCAGTTCCCTTCCTCCAGCTCCCTGCCTACAGTTCCCTTCCTCCTCCAGCTCTATTCCTCCAGTTCCTTGCCTCCAGTTCCCTTCCTCCACCTGCCTGCCTCCAGTTCCCTTCCTCCAGTTCCCTTCCGCCAGTTACCTTCCTCAAGCTCCCTGCCTCCAGTTCCCCTCCTTCCTTCCCTCCCTCCGTCTCATCGAAGCCTTTGGCTAGGTCCTCAAAACCTTTCCGTTTCCGTTGGTCCATGCCTCCCAAACTGAGCCCAGTTGCACAATCACATTGATTGGGGTGAGAACATGTTGGGCCAGCGTGATGAGCCCTTGGAAAAGGGCGCGGGCTTTGGTCTGTGGACCTGGTGCCATGCCCGTGATGGTGCCCTTCCGCAACAGGGTGCGCAGTGAGAAGGTGTGGACACAAAGCGCGAAAATCCACGCTTGGGATCGCTGGTCATAGGAGGATGGTGTTGCATCCAATGTCACCGAAAGCCCTTGCCAAGGTTGGAGAGGCAGGGGTTCGAGGGTGTTCCAGCACCCGTGTCCTTGTAGCGGGTGTGCCACTTGCAGGTGATCCTGCGGTTCTTTGGGTACCCAGCCGTGGGCCCAAAGGGGCTCTTCGAGAGGGTATTGGAGTCTCTCGGTCCATTCGATGGCGAGGGGGGCATGGCCCTGGTTGTGGTGCCAGGTGCACAGCCATACGATGTGCTATGGTGTTGCTGATACATTGCACAGAGGGCATGTTTTGATCTTGTCGCCCTGTCTGTAGTGAATGGCTGCCTGGTTCCAAGTCCGCATGTGTTGGACTTGTTGTTTAGGGAGCAGTTTTGCTGCCTTCTTGGCCGTAGTCCAGTCGAGCCCGCTGACCAAATTTTGACCGTTTTTCCTGCTCGCAAATCGGCTGGTCCGTTGTTGTTGTGCCTCAAGGGGGAGTGTCTGCTCGATTGTGGCCCAGTCATCCTGCATGTTGATGTGGGCTTCTGTCATGAAAGCTGTTTCATGTCGATGCCACTGGTAGATGTTGTCCGTCGTCCATCCCCATTCCCTGAGGTATGCCAAAGTGGCTGCCATGGGTCCTTTCACGTGGTACCACGGGTGCTGTTGTTTGTGGATCTGGTTGCGGAGTGTGAGCCAAGCTTGTTCGATGTGCTGGATATGGTCGGGCGGCCAATGGGAAACGAGGGTGTGTAGTGCCCGGATGTGGTGCATGATCACCTGGTCACCGGGGTCCCCAAACTTCTGGCTGACTTGGTCATAGATGACATCTTGCAATCCACCTTGATGAAGTTTGAGGTGCACAGCCAAACCCTGGCGGAGTGCCAGCCTGTATCTAGGTGCTAGACCTTGACCTTCAAAACCCCAGAAAGCCACGGGCTGGACTCCTCCTCTGTGGAGCCTGAGTCGTGTTCTGAGATTGGGCAACTTGAGGCTTCGCAGTTTGATCCGCCGTTGCTGGTTTTTGCGGAATCTCTGTTGTAGTGTGGCAATCCTCCTCTTGCGCCCTGCTGTGTGGTCGATGCCTAAATCTCTCATCACTGACTGGATGGGTGGATCATGTGGGCCGAGGAGTTTGCTCAGCTCTTTGTGGATGATCTTGTCGGTAACGATGAAGGCCGTTTTGTGGCTATTGACCACCAATCCGGCCGATGTCAGGCTGTCTCGAAGTTGGTGCCATGCTTGGATGGTGCGGTGGGCCAAAAGTGGTGCATCCGTGTGGCTGCCATCGAAACCAATGTCATCCACCCAACCGTTCAGGTGCATGTCAGGGTTGTCCTGTTGGAACCTGGTGGGGATGGGCTGTAGGAAGGTTTTGGCTAGTAGTGGTGCTTGGGGACAGCCAGCTGCTACTCCAGTTGTTACACGGAACCATGGGCTGAGCTCACCCTCTGCGAGAATGGCCTTGTGACCAGTGTAGACCTGCATGGCAAACTCCAGGGCCAGGGGTGGGTATTGCAGGTCTTGGGTTGGAGTTGCTGAAGGTCCAGAGTGTCATAGAAGGTGCTCATGTCCAGTAGCACAGTGATGCCATGTTTCTCCAAGGATTTGGCGGTTTCCTGCCTGAGTAGCCGTTCGAGAGCCACGTGTAGTGCTGTGGCTCCTGGTCGGGCTCTGTCATAGTCCATGGATGGAGGGAGGGATTGCTGCCAGGCGTCGAGGATGGGTTTCCTCATCCTGCACCATACTCTGTAGAGCACACTGGTCAGCGTGATTGGTCTTTCGACCTTCTCGTTTTTGGCGAGCATAACGACCAGGCTCATAGTGAGCTGGGTGGGGAGTTCTGCTTTTGCCTCCATGGCCTGGAGAATGTGAGTAGTGGTTGCAGGGCCTGCTTGGGTGCTGTTCTGAGCAGCTGTGTTGCGATGGCATCCGGCCCACAGGCCTTGTCTGGGAGTTTCTTCAAAGTTTTGCCAAGGTGCTCGTAGGTGAGTGGCGGTAGTTGGGCTGCCTGCTGTTTGGCTGCTTCTTGCAAGGGTAGTCGTGTCATGGGCTGGTCGTCCCGGGTCGGTTTCCACAGAGCGTGCCATGCTTTCATCCTGTGTCTCATGCGGTCAGCCATCGGGATATCACGGTATGGTCGCTGCCATGACAGTTCACTGGCTTTCAGGGATCTGAAGAGTCCTTTGAGGCCCTTTGTTTCACCTTGCCGTATCCACTCTGCATATTGGAGGCAGGACTCTTCTCGACTTTGTTGTTGTGCTGCCTCAAGCTGATGTTGGACGGTTTGTTGCATC